CGCGAGAAATGGTGACACTTAGCTCAAAATGAAAAACATTCGCATGCGAAATGGCTCCAATAGTTGTGAATGGAAGTAGAATGCGTGGCGCGTCCTAGAAAGTGAATCATCAAGGCTATAAAGATCATTCCTTTTAGGTCCTTGCTTCACAATATGGAAGAATTGGTTGACGTTCACCTCATTTCCAACTACCATCTCAACTTTCCAGATTCAACATGCGTCTGAAGGTCTTCAAAGGTGTGACTGTGGTCGGAGAAAATGCCTTGGCAGACATGCCAACAGCAATAGTGTCGTTCTATAATGAAAAAGTAAGACTCCTGGATCGAGATTTTCTATTTTTTCTTTCATTTATTTTCTATTTTTTCCACTTGCTCACAATGTCTATTTTCCGATCACTTTACCAGCACTCGGTGTCGCTTCTGGTGCATACATTCGTATCTACAAAAATTTGAAACCATTCTATCAGGTGGGTATAACTAAAAGTTCTATCAGGTGGGTACAGATAAAGGTTACTGAATTGGTTGTTGATTTTTTTTATTTGGTTCTAACTTCCCCGGACTAAATAATAGTCAAGAATCCATAGTGGAGGTCCAGTCTTCTAAAGCGCCAGAAATTTGATGATCACAGGAAGCAAAAGAAGGCGCACTTTTTGAAGGAGACCATCACTGAAAAACAATGATAAAAGAAAAATCAGAGACTGATCTGGCCGTCCTTTCATGTTTTTTTTTGTCTTACAGTACAACACACCATCGGCACCAGTCCACAAGGTTGAACAGGAGGCATGGACGAAAACTTGCGCCAAGCAACTCACGCAGGATCAGTTGTTCACCGTCATACAGAGCTTGGCAAATGAGGTTAGTATGACGGCAGAGTAGGGCTGTAGAAGAAAGTGTGTGTCCCAACAGTAAATCTCCGTCCAAACGTTTCGCCTAGCCAGGGCGCGTCAAACGCTGATCCCAATGACGAAGTTGTATTTGGTCGTTAGGGAGAGGGGGTCGTACTAGGCTCAGAAGGAACTGCCGCAATTCTGCTTAGTGCGGGGGGCACTTCGCACCCCTAACTTCTTTAGCAGTTCCTCTTCAATTGCACGTCTTATCCTCGATATTATTAGGTCCTGCTGAGTGTGGAGAAGCTCACACTGATTGCGTAGCTCTACGGTAA